CTGTAAAGGAACAACATTAAGCAGACTAGGAGTATTTACATCTGTAAGTGCATGACTGAGAAAAAGAAAGGAAAAAATCATCTTTGAGCAGTTGTACAAGCAGTATTGTAGGGCGTGGACCTTGTCTTTTGAGCATGGACTGTTCACTGCAAATTCATCTTGTGTTTCTGTTTCTTGAAATTTCTACAAATCTTCATCAACAGTTTTCCACTTCCTGTTTTTGATACCAAGCACCTTAGTGACATTGCAGCTTGTGTCCATTTATTGCATTAGCTCAGCTGTCAGAGAATGAGCTGACAGAAATCAAATGTTGTGGTCTACTTGGTTGGATTTTTTTGTGTGGGGGAAGAAGGAGGGAGGTTTATATGAGCAGAGACAAGGAGCTCTATGGCAGCAGCATGTATGGAATTACAGTATCTGCTAGAACATGACGGTTCATTACATGTATGATGTGAATGCTCATGCAGTGCAGTACAAAGCTGAGAAAGCTGCAAAAATATGTTTATAGCTTTAACAGTTTTCCTTTTGAATTCAGGTACATTTTAGATAATCCCTGTGTTGTTAAAGGGAAATCAGTTTTGGATCTTGGAAGTGGATGTGGAGCAACAGCAATAGCTGCTGTGATGAGTGGGGCATCCCAAGTCCTGGCCAACGACATTGACCCTAGTAAGAATTTTATTTTGTTCTTTTTTTTTTTTAACTCTGCAAATATATTTATTATGTTTAAAGCACATTTAGCACTATGTTTCTTTGACCTATTTGGGGGAAAATTCATTTCCAAATATGCTAATCTAGAATGATAGAATGATATTAATGAATGTTGGCAGTACTAGAAGCTGAGTTGTACTAGACTCCTTACACAGAACGTATCTCCCTGTGAGCAGCTCTTCAGAGAGAATAAACAGCAAAGGATCCATCAAATCTTTCCTACACGTCAACACAGCTGGTTTGAAAGAGAGCTCCAAGAGCAAGTGGAAAAATTGATTTGCTTTCTCTAGGACCTGAGCATAGCTTATGAGCTGCAGGGCCATATTGTTATTTTTTTCAAAGATTTGATTTCCCTTAAATGATTTCTACATTCAGGATATTTGTAATTTAATTACTCATTGATTAGGGAGGAAGTGAATCCACAGATAAGGCAGGTTTTGATGCAGGAGTGCCACTGGTTTCCAATATGCACTTCTCTAAGCAGTGCTGTGATGAGGATAAAATTCCACCATTTTATGCTAGATTTTAATGCAGAATGAAAGCTGTGGAAGCTACTAGATAGCATAAACAAAAAAATAAGAGATTAAATTGAAAGTTGTGTCAGAATATTTGAAATTTGTTAATGAGACTGAAAGGCAGAATCCTCAAACTTAACTTTCATTTAATTTTCTTCAGTTGCAGGAATGGCCATGATCTTAAACTGTGAACTGAACCATGTGAATCCCTTTCCCATCACCATTAAGAACATGATCAATTCAGAGGTGGGCAACTGGGACCTCATTGTTCTCGGGGATATGTTTTACGACGAACAACTTGCTGATGGTCTTCATCACTGGCTGAGCAAATGCATCCGGATACGGCAAACTAAAGTGCTCATTGGTGACCCTGGCAGGCATGAGTTTTTAAAACACAGAATTCACAGTCACTTGCACAAAGTTATAGAATATTCACTTCCTGAATCTACTAGACAAGAAAACAATGGATTAACATCAAGCATTGTCTGGAGTTATCAGCCTTCATGTAGTTTAGAAAGATGTTAAAGCTGCTTTATAATTAATTTGGTCTCGATTGGTTGGCTTTTTTTTTTTTTAAGTGTATGAAATAAGACGTGAGACTTACATGTGGCACAGGTTTGTTGATGGCACAGCAGCATCCTGTACTGATCTCAGCTTTGTAGGTGAAGGCTTGGGCTCCGTTTGAGCCAAAACTCAAATGAGCTTTACTTGAATGGCTGTGCACGGAGGTGCCCGTTGACAGATAAATGATGCACGTGAGTTTGCATGCCTGATGTCTCTGCTGCATGTTCACGTATTTGTCTCCCTCCTGGATGGTACTGTGACTGTGAAATGTTAGACTACAGCAGGGAGGACAGAGGAGGATGGCAGTTGAATCCACTGCACTCCCTTCTCAGGCTTCTGCAGCTCATTTACAGAGAAAATTAGTGCTGTCCTTCCTAAAACTCTCTGCTAGATAATTAGCTCATATTATGCTCAACTCTAAGTGCCTTGCTACCTGTCTCTTTTTTCTGAACATAACTGTTTTGGGTCTCCTCCTTCTCGTCTAAAATAAAGTCTATTCTTCCTTTAAGCCCCAGAGTGATCATTTAGGATCTCATGCATCATTCAAAAACATGCTTCTTGGCTGTGGCCAAAATAAAAACTGGAGTAGCTAAGTAGTAA